TTTGGTGGCGATGACTATAGCCCGGAGCAGCGCGAGCAGTTCTTGTTGGACAAGGAGCGAAGAGAGGAAGCCCTCGAAGACTATACAAAGGTGGAGCGAGTGGTTGCTGTCCGCGATGGCGAAGACGGGGGCGACGAGTACTTTGTCAAGTGGAAGGGGCTCCAGTACGAGGATTGCACCTGGGAGTCCGCGGCACTCATCAGCGAGACCGCCCAAGACAAGATTGACCAGTTTCTGGACCGCACCTCGCGCTCCTGGCAGTCTGACCGGAAGGAGGCCAACCCCGACACTCGGTCTGGGATGACCAAGTTGGAAAAGCAGCCAGACTATGTCGTCAATGGCGAGCTCCGCGAGTTTCAGCTCAAGGGGTTGAACTTCCTTGCACTAAACTGGACCCGAAGCAACAACGTCATTCTCGCCGACGAGATGGGCTTGGGCAAGACAGTGCAGTCAGTGTCATTCCTCAGCTGGCTTCGCAACGACCGGGGGCAAGAAGGGCCGTTCCTGGTTGTCGCGCCCCTCAGTGTCATCCCGGCGTGGTGCGACACGTTCAACCACTGGGCGCCGGATCTCAACTACGTCGTCTACCTCGGCCCCGACGCATCCCGCACCATCATCAGGGAGCATGAGATGATGGTGGACGGCAACCCAAAGAAGACCAAATTCAACGTCTTGGTCACGTCCTATGACTACATCCTCCTGGACTGGGAGCATCTCAAGAGCATCAAGTGGCAGGTCCTGGCTGTGGACGAGGCTCACCGGCTAAAAAACCGGGAGGCTCAGCTCTACGCACGGCTGAACAGTTTCAACGTTCCCTGCAAGGTGCTCATCACTGGCACGCCCATCCAAAACAACTTGGCCGAGCTGTCAGCCCTGCTCGACTTTCTGAATCCCGGCAAGGTCCTGATCGACGAAGAGCTTGAGCTGCTCTCCACCGCCGAGAGCATAGACCCCGTCGATGAGCAGCTGGATGAGGCCAGGCGCAAGAAGACGCAAGAGAAGCTCCAGGATCTTCACAAGCAGATTGCGCCATTTATCCTCCGCCGAACCAAGGAGACTGTCGAGTCGGATCTGCCGCCCAAGACGGAGAAGATCATTCGCGTCGAGCTGGCGGATTTGCAGCTGGAATACTACAAAAATATTCTCACCCGAAACTACGCTGCCCTCAGCGACGCCAGCAATGGCCACAAACAGTCTCTGCTGAACATCATGATGGAGCTGAAGAAGGTCAGCAACCATCCCTACATGTTTCACGGCGCCGAAGACCGAGTGCTCAACGGCAGCATGCGGCGTGAGGACCAAATCAAAGGCCTCATCACGAGCAGCGGCAAGATGATGCTTCTTGACCAGCTGCTGGCCAAGCTGAAGAAGGACGGTCATCGCGTCTTGATCTTCAGCCAGATGGTCAAGATGCTGGATATCCTCGGCGACTATCTGCGGATCCGCGGGTATCAGTTCCAGCGGCTCGATGGAACCATCCCGGCGGCCCCCCGACGCATGGCCATCAACCACTTCAACGCCGAGGGCAGTGATGATTTCTGCTTTCTCCTGTCGACTCGTGCCGGTGGTCTGGGCATCAACCTGATGACGGCTGACACTGTCATCATCTACGACTCGGACTGGAACCCGCAGGCAGACTTGCAAGCCATGGCACGCGCCCATCGTATCGGGCAGAAGCGTCCAGTCAACGTCTATCGCCTGGTTGCCAAGCAGACGATTGAAGAGGAAGTTGTCAAGCGGGCTCGCAACAAGCTTTTCCTCGAATATCTCACCATCCAGGCCGGCGTTACAGACGAAGGCAAGGCTCTCCGGGATCAGTTCAGCCAGCGCGGCCTGAAGATGGACGAGGCAAAGACTGCTGAGGATATCTCGATGATCCTCAAGATGCGCTCTCAAAACCTGTTCGAGCAGTCCGGAAACCAGGAGAAGCTCGAGTCCTTGGACATTGACGCCATTCTCGAGAACGCCGAGGTGACCAAGACGGACGTTGATGACAAGATCAACCTTAGCAGCGGCGGCATTGACTGGGACAACTGGATGCACGTGACGGACGTCAAGGTGGACGAGCTGGCTCTGGATTGGGATCAGATCATCCCTGCCGAGCAGCTTGCTGCCATCAAGGACGAGGAAGTCAAGAAGAAGCATGAAGAGTATCTGGCCAAGACGGTAGAGGAGAATGCCCCTCGCAAAGCGGCCCTCAAGGGTTCCAGGAAGAACCTTGAGACGGAGCGTGCTGAACGTCTTGCGAAGAAGAGACAGCGCGAGAAGGAGGAGGAAGACGAGATTGAGGAGCAACGCGCCCTGCTGGCCGACCCTCGCCGTCCTCTCAACGAGAAGGAGACTCGAAACCTGATCCGCGCCTTTTTCCGGTTCGGTTCTCTCGACGATCGCGAAGACGAGGTCGTTCAGGATGCGCGCCTCGGCGACCGCGATCGTGACTTTCTTAGGGACATCATTGCCGAGCTGGTGGAGATTAGCCGTCAAGCGGTCGATATCAACAACGAAAAGGTGCGCGAGGAAGAAGACAGAGCTGGGAAGCCCTTGGCCAAGAAGGACAAGAAGGCCGTGCTGGTCGATTTCGGCGAGGTTCGAAAGGTCAACGCCGAGACGGTGGTGGAACGGCCGCCCCAGCTGAGGCTGCTGCGTCGGGTCCTCCTAGAGCACGGCAATATCCTGACCTTTAGGCTCCCGGACGCGACCAAGGCCGCTGCCTATTCTTGCGACTGGGGCGCCCGGGAGGATGGCATGCTCCTTGTCGGCATCGACCGATACGGTTTTGGTGCATGGCCCCAGATCCGGGACGACCCGGAGCTCCAGATGCACGACAAGTTCTTCCTCGAGGAGCATCGCGTGGAGAAGAAGGAGAAGAGAAAGACGACGGATGAGCGGGGTATTCAGTCCCCTGGTGCCGTGCACCTGGTTCGCCGATCCGAGTACCTTCTCTCTGTGCTCCTCGCGAAGCACTCCAACGATGCGGCGGCCAAGAAGGCGGTGGAGAATCATCACCGCAGCAAGAAGCTGCTCACAAACGGACAGCGCCGTGGCGACACGAGCTCGATCCCAGCTTCGCCAGTGCCTCCGATGTCTAGAAAGCCAGGCCAGCGCGACCGCAACCACTCTCACAGCGAGCACCGCCGGGACTTTAGCAACGCCAATGACCGCGGCACCCCGAGGCCCGAACACAAGCGGAAGCTCAAGGATGAGTATGATGACCGGACCTCAAAGCACAGGAGGCTAGACGACGACCGCCACGGTGCCGACGGCAAGAAGAAGGACAAGGAGAAGTCCAAGGTCGATCCCGAGGCCCTCGAGCGGCACAAGCGAGACCGGCAAAAGGCTGTCGAGCGGTTCCACGAACTCGCGAGGCTCGGCGACGATGAGATTGACCACTCGGATAATGCACAGTTGGTCTGGTCCATTCTTCGCCCCCTCAAGCCCAACATGGAACGCATCATGCACTCCAAGGAGCAATTCCCGGCTGCAAAGGACAGAGCAAAGTTTCTCGGCGAGGAGATCCGCACATTTGGCAACTTTCTCAAGAGTCTGCGGAGGGAGGACTCTACCGCTCTAGACAACTTGGAGCCGCACTTCTGGTAAGCCCTGTCTCTTCCCCCCCCCCCCTTGCTTCTGTTACTGACGACTGGTGCGCAGGGAGTTCCTCTCCTCGATCTGGCCGATTAACGAAACCAAGGTTTCGGGAAAGCGCCTGCAAAAGATCTTTGGAGAGCTCGTCGAAAAGGACAAGGGCAAGAAGGACGAGGACCGTCCCAACGAAATTCGCCGTCGCCGCCCCGACCTAGAAGACGGCGAAATCACCAGCGACCGCGACGACCGGCGGTTCCGAGACCCCTACCGCGACGACCGCCGACAGGACCGTCGCCAGGAGCCTCGCGACGACCGCCGCGACAACCGTCGGGACGACCGGCGGGACGACCAGCGGGAAGAGTCTCGTCGCGCGTACTACGACAATGGCGATCGGCTCAACTTCCATCGCCATCGCCGAGACGGCGACAGGGCCGGGCCGGTCCGGCATTCCTGGCAGAGCAGCAGAAGCCCGTACTAAGTATGGGTGGTTCCGGTGGAGGGACAGGCCGTTGCTGCCGCGTTTTCCTTCCCCTTTGCATTGTTATGGCGCACGGGGCGTATCACGGCGTTTATACTTGGAGAAGCAGGGTTATTCTTTGACAAGCGGACCTTGAACAACTACTACATACCCAGAAAGCATCGGCAACCATTTGGGCAGGAGAAGATGGGGCATCTTTGATTTTCTTGGTGGGCCTGAGGAATTCGTAGCTGGGGAGCCAGCCAAAGCAGGCACCCCGCCGCCTCATCCGTACATTCACCAAGCAAGGGCAACACGCAAGGGGGCTTTGCGTCAGCCGCGCGGACACACAAAAGGGCGGCAGCCATGATGACTTGGAGGGGAGGAGGAGGAGGTAGAAGTGACAGGGAGGCCATTTAGAAGACCAAAGGTGTGTCTGCGTGTTTGGTTTTTAGTCGTCATGGTAGAGAAGCGTTGTGCGCCATTTTTTTATTTTTGTTCCACCGATGGAGGATGGATGCCCCCCCCCTTGGGCATAAAAAGCGTGAGGCAGCAGGGTGGCGGCTGGATTGTATTTTTACACCTACCACGGGAGGGAGAAGGCCATCAGTGGTGTCTGCATCTGCGGCTCGGGCATGGGATGGGATAGGAATGGGTGGGATTTGGTGTATTGTTTGGGCGTGGATGGGAAGGGGAGGAAGGAGTAGGAGGAGTAGGAGGAGGGGAGGTAATATAATAGATGGCCTTTTACCGTGGCGGGAAGTGTACTTGCCAACGTAATGTCCCTTGTTGTTGACATGTGAAGTGGAAGATGTTTGTTTGTTATTTCGTGTACTGTCTAAAGGCCGTCGACGACAAGTTCATCCCCCGTTCCCATCACCGCCTCCCGAGGAGACCTACCTACTACTACCAAAGGAGGATCACCGAAATCACACATCATTTGTCGCGTCGGGAATCGAGCCCGACGTGGGGGTCGAACCCACAACCTCGAGATTGTCACCGCCACCTTCTTCAAGTCCCGTGAGGGCGTGAGTGAATAAGAGTCTCACGCTCTACCGATTGAGCTAGCCGGGCGGTGACAAGGGAGGAGCTGTGTGTGTGTGTTTCTTGGTGAGAGGGTTGTGTGGGCATTAGGGTTCATGGTCTTGCACGGCGGTCATGGATGGGTTGGGGGGGTTCAAGGACGCTCGGTCGAATCAAGGAGGGTCAGTCGTAGAGGAGGTTGGGAATGGGGACATGACTCCTCCGTGGATCCATATTCTCTCTTTTTTTTTCCCCATCCCGAGTTTGTTTGTGGGCAAGGGACCAAGGGATGGGCGAGCTTGAGCTGTGTGTGTATCCTGGGTATCCTGGCTGATCAAGTCTAGCTGTGACGTCTTTTTCGTGCTCGCCGTCCAACGCGCCATGCCGCTATGTTGGGTACATGTTTTGTAGATACAGGTCCAGTCGCTGGAAATCTCATTGATTCTCAACATGTACATGTTCTCCTATCCGCAACTACCAATTCGCTCAGTTGCTCTGACTGGCTTCCTATGTAGTCACGACTGGGCGGGATATCCACCCACCCACCCGTCTCGTCCGCCTCCAAACCATACTCCCCCTGGTATAAGGTATAGCTAATGAACCAAAGCATGTACCGCCCCGTCAGCTATCCCCAAGCCACCCCAAAAGAACGCCAACCAAATCGCCTGTTTGCTTTTTATGCCAACCCAGCTGCCGGCTGGCAGACAAGTTTATTATGTACAATCCTAAACTCGCCCGTCCAAGCCCAGGCAGGTAATGTTCGGTCGTCAAGGAACCACCCCGACCTCCAAAATCAGGGATACCCAGTCCACCATGGAGCCGTGCTCACAAAGACTGCGCAGGAAGGTACACTAGTCAATGGATGAGGTGGTCCATGAGCCTAGGTTTCGACGTGGGCGAAATCGTGTCCGCCGTCCCCATAGGATAGCCCACCGGCGGCATCGGTCCTCTTGCCACCTGAAACGGCGGCGAAGGACGCTCGCTTCTTGGTGGTCGGAGGGCCGGGAGACCAAAGGTGAATGTGGTCGAGATATCGGGTGGCGAGGAAAGGTCGGACGAATCGGGGTCGAGGGGGATCTGCCGTTTGGGCGTCTGCTTCGACACCGGGGCCGCAACCTTTTGGGTCTTGAAGGTCTGGTCGAGGCGGTTCTTGGGCTTGGCCACTGCCTTCTTTGGCTGGCGGGGTTTCCGAGCGGCGGGCTTCCGAGCTGCCTTGGGTTTCGCATCACCAGCACCGAAGAGCGCAAGAGTGCTTTGTTTGGTCTTGCCCATGGTTAGTGGCTTGGTGGACGGAGCGGGGCTTCGGATGTCGGGACTGAGTCTCGGCGTGGGAATATAGCCATGGTCGAGGTCGACAGCCCTGGAAAAGAGGTCTTGTTGGTGAGCGTCGGTCTCCTCCTCTTCCCGCTTCCGCTTCTGCTCCAAGACCACATCGATCCTACCGCGCTCTAGGCTGGCCAGCAGACGCTTCTCCTTGATCTCGTCGCCCGTCACCATGTACGAATCGCGGTCGCCAATATCTTGCTGATCCCACCTGGGGAGGTTGACTAGCTCGGCAATATCGTCGCACTTGCCCTTGACGACGTAGTCCCAGCAGTCCTTGAAGTCGGCCTTTGGGGGCACGGGGTCGATGTTGATCCACGCCGTGATGCCATCTCGCCTACTCCTGGTCAACTTGCACATCTCCTTGACCAGCCGCTGGACACCGGGAATTTTCAACGTGGTGCCCACTACGATGACGGCGTCTGGTACTCTGCGCAAATCGGCGCTGGACACCATCCCGATGGCGTCCTCATCTGGGTTGTGCTCGTTGTAGAGCACGATCCTGGGACGGAGCTTCCCGATGCCGTGGCTCCGCTTTCCGGCAAAGCCTGTACGCACCTCATCCTGCTCGGTGCACGGCTGACACAGGGGCGGCTCGGGGCCCTCGAAGAGGGCGGCGTTGAACGGCTCAAGATGACCGCACTTGGTGCACACCATCTTCTCGAGGCCGCCGTGGAGCTGGATGGTGACGGGCCAGGGCCCCTTGGGGTTCAGTGGTACCGTCGTGGCGAGCGGCGGCATCTGGGTGTCAATGGTGTCGATGTTTTGGGTGTAGAGACGCAGCAATCGGCCCTCGGCGGCGAGGGAGGCCAGCATGTGGTGGAAAGGGGTGGGCGACGCCTTGGAGGTCATGTCGGCCATCTCGCGGACCATGTTGTGGAATGACTCGGTGGAGGCGTCATGCTTGTAGACCGACGCGTCGAAGAGGGACTTCCCTGATGCTTTGAGCTTGTGCTGGCCCCGCAGCGTGGTAAACAAGCCAGTGGAGGAGCGGAAATCAGGAACTGGGGAGGTTGTCAGCACTTGAATCGAGGGCACATGTCATGGGGGGAGCATGGGGCGCGACGTACTACCTGCGGAGACCGAGATGCCGGCGCCCGCAATGACGACGATCCTCTTCTTCTTGCGCAATGCCGACAGGAGCTTTCCAAACTGGCCATCGTCCCCGTAGACGTGGCTCTCGAGGTCGATGTGGGTGGTGGTGCGGGGGCCCGGGGGGGTAGCGAGCTTGCGGCGCTTCGGGGGGGGGCCGTCGGAGCGGACGCGTATCTCGTCGGTGGGGGCCTTCCTAGGCGAGCAGGTGCCCGAGGTGCCAGCGCTGGAAGTTGGTGTCGGGTATCGGTTGGCAGCGTCCATGTCGGGATGCAGTGGAGAGGGGGGGGAAGGTGACTGGGAGAGGACGGAGAGGGGGGAGGATGGCGGAGAGGAGGCCGAGTCGGAGGGGGGGAGAGACGAGGACGGTGGAGGATCCATTCGGGCGGCTGCTTGCTGACACGGGCAGCCGAGACGGTGAGGGGGCAGCGATCGAAAAGGCGAGGGCGCCGTGAACAAGGAAAGGTGCGATGCGAGTGCCCGAGTCGTTATATCATGGCTCGAGGAGTCGGTCGGGTTGCAATGGGTGTGCTTTGGTGAATACGCGCGACCGCGACCGAGGGCGTGAATGGAGAATGGTGAAGGTGACACGAGCCCGCGATTTGACGCGCCGCCTCGTGGAGTGGCAGGTGGAGAAGCGGAAAAGGGCGGGCGGTGAAGGAATTGCGAGAATGGTAATCGTGGGGAGGAAAGAAATAATTGAGACTGGTTCTTTGTGGTGAGAAGAGAAGGATGGAGGAGGAGGCAGGGCTGGTTGCCGTCCGGGAAGGGAGGTTTCTCTGTTGCAGATTCCGGGCAGGGCTTGGTCGCAACTCTGGGCTGGTGACGCTCAGGCTCGGGCTCACAGGCTCAATTCACAAGGTATTGGGGCCCTGGGGGCAGGACAGGGGAGTGGGCCACGGTGCTGGCCTGCAGACTTCCCACTGCCCTTCCCGCCCATCACACCCAAACACCCAAACATGGACCGAGATATTTGCGACAACGGCGCAATTGAGCACGGCGAAATTTATACTCTCGACCAAGCATAGCACTTATTTTCTGACTCCTCCAAGCCAAATACCGCTTCCGGTTTGGTTTCTTTTTCCAAATAGCTCAGGATCAGGCTCAGGTTTGGGCTCACGCTCACCGTCTGCCATGTGGTCAGTGGTCATCAGTGTTGGCAAAATCAAAATCACTCGTGCTTGTTGGCCCGTCCGGCCAAGGCCCAACCCGTCCCGGGCACGGCGGCCGGTTGCTCGGACAATGAAAGGGGGCGTGTCCATTTCGGGATATGTGCCATTGTTTCACTGATCAACCCTAACCCTCATATTGGCACCCTGCAGCAGTGGGTAGTGCATGTCGTTTGACGACTTGGTCATTCACCATTCCATCAACCACCCCTCTTGTCATTGATGGCTTCACACCTTGTGCCGCGGGCCTGATTGAGAGGGGGAAGGAAACTGCATGTGCATTTTTAGGAACGCCGGGCAAATCAGTCACATGGGGCTCTCGGTGAGGCTGCACAAATTGACGAGAACAAGACCAAATTGACAGAACATCACTTCTTTTATTGTTATTCCATCATCATTTCCAACTCTTATACCTCCTCCATCAATCTATAATCGAGGTTGACATCCAGGCCAGGTGTCAGAGTAGGGACAGATACCGGAGGGCGGCCCCCATCTTCCTCCTGACCCCAGCCGACCCCAACTCCGACCCTGTCAGCCCACCACGCCCAGGCCCCCCTCAAGATGAGCGCCGAACAAATGGCCGGGCTCCTCCTCACGGACTCGATGGGCGTCGACGCCAGCATGACGGTCATGGACGACCCCATGGGGCTCGACGAGGTCGACCTGTTTGGCGACCCCGTCCTGTCCCCCCCTCCCCCCAGCCGGGCCCTCCAGCAGCGCATCGACGACCTGCGCACCCGCGGCGCCACCCACTCCATCGCCTGGTCCAAGCAGGGCACCATCGCCTCCGTCTCGAGGGATGGCGCCTCCGTCGAGCTACGCTTCCTCCGCTGCCATCCTGAGACGGGCCAGTGGGAGCTCAGCCCGCCCACCTCCTGCTCGGCCCTCCCCCCGGCCCCTGGCGGTGCCCCCATCGTAAACATCGCCTGGGCCGCCACCTCCAACACTGAGCTAGCTGTTATCGATGCCGTCGGCCGCATCGCCATCCTGAGCGTCTCCCTCAGCCTCAACCGCGCATACCTGAGCCGCCGCTGGGATGCCGACCACGACGACCTCCATCCCATTGTGGGCTGCTACTGGTTGCCTCTCCCTCCCACTCCCGCCAACCGACCGGTGAGCACCCCCCGGAGCTGGCCGTCTCTTTCCACCTGCCGCTGACTATGCCGCGCAGTTCCTCTTCATGTACGGTCCGGCTGTCTGGAACCAGACCGAGTACAAGTTTGAAAACACCGTCCACCCTCCCTCTGCGCCATATCACCCCAATCCCGGGAAGAGTGCCCTGCTTTGTGTCACGGCCAATGGCTTCCTCAAACTGCTCTACTCGCAGAACAACAACCGCATGGAGGAGACGTCGTTGGAACTCGAAAGCGTAGCCAGCTCCGACGACATGATCACCCACGCGTCCATCTGCTCGGACAAGAGTAAGGTCTCGCGTGCTGTGCCTCGCCTCTGGACAGCAGACTGACA